GTTTGTTGCCTTCAGGAAACACAATACAAATGAGATACACACAAAGATAAAATAAAGGGCTGAAGTAGAAATTCTTATGTTAAAAAAAAGCCAGGGTAGTAATCCTGATCTCAGACAAAGTCAGAGCTAAAAGAGATTTAATCAAAAGAGAAAAATAGGGAAACTATACTGTGTCACCAATATTATTCAATACTGTTTAAGACCATTTAAAATAACCAAACAGTTAAAATATCTGAGAGTATACTTGCCAAAACAGACACAGCAACTATTTGAACATAAACATAAAATACTTTTTAAAGTCAGATTTAAGTAATTGGAGTAATATTTATTGTTCATGGGTAGGTAAAGCCAATATAATTTTAAAATGCCAACTTTACCTAAATAATCTATTTATTCAATGCCATCCCAATTAAATTACTAACAAGATATCTTACTGAGTTAGAAAAAAATAATAAATTCATTTGGAAGAATAAAAGTTCAGGAAATTTAAAGAAACCAGGGGGGAAAAGATGCAAAGGAAAGAGATTCAGCAGTATCAGACCTTAAACTGTATTATAAGGCAAGAGCATTGTTGAAGTATAAAATGGATAGTCTTCAATTAAAGTAAAATTTTTTGTATAAATAAACCAATACAGCCAAGAATAGAAGGAGTGCAGAAAACTGGGGGGAAAACTTTTATGGATAATCTCTCAGATAGGATGTGATTGTGTTAGAATACTGCTATGCTGTAGGAAATGATGAGTTGGTTGATTGAGGAAAACATGGAAAGCCTTGGATCCATGAAGAAAGATGTTATCCACCTCCAGGGAGAGAGATGACAAATAGAAATATTCAACGTACAGTCCTACATATGTGTGTGTATCCGCATTTAATTGTAGCCTTCTTGGGGGTGGGGAGGAAATAAAGTAAAAAGTGCATGGCAGAGAACAAAAGAAAACCTACAAGGAAGCAAAGAAAAACTGGGTACCTTTTGAAAATGAGGTGTAGTATTTATTATATATGTTTTTTAATGGAAATTTATTGTTTTATATTGAATCCTCTCTTATGTTCTGCTGAACACATGGAAATGTTCTTTTTATTTTCTTTTCTCATTTTGTATTTAAGTTTCAAATGAATAAATTTACCAAAAAAAGAAAAATAGACTATGTTACTGTAAGAAGAGATAGGATATGAGTAACAAAGGAGATGTGTGGAGCAGAGTGTTGGACTGATGGTAGATTTACCTCTCCCAGGTAAACATTCACATTCAATGAAAGTGTTGGCCCAAGGCAAGATGATTACTAGAAGACAGTGATTAGAGAGCTTCTGCAGCATGTGAACGGTTTGTTGCTAACTTGGAGGGAAAGTTGAGCCCACACACTGTAAACAATAGTGGAGCAGAAAAGGAGTGGGCAGCTTTCAGAGATTTGGTGTACAGCATTGCATTTACTCATCTGGACCAGAACACTCGCAGACTTCAAGATTGGTTTGCCAAAAGTAATGGGAAAATTCAGAAACTGCTGATTGAAAAACAAGAACTCCACAGGGTTTACCAGCAGAATAAGAAGGCATCCATCTCTAAGCAGGTGGAATGTAATTCCATCAAAAGTAAAGTGTAAGTGAAGCTTAGATAGATGCAGGATTCTTGGCTCAGTAGAAAGGCAGATTAAATTCAGTTTTTCACTGATAGTAACAATCCAAAATGCTTTTTAATGCCCAGAAGACTATTTATGGACCAAAAACCTATTGTTCATTTCATTGACTCAGTACTGATGGAACCACATTGATTAGTGATAAGAACATGATCCTGGAAAAATGGACTGAACATTTCCATTACATTCGCAACAGTCATCAATCAATGCTAAAGCCATCTACCAAATACTTCAGGTTGAAATCAGGCCCTCTCTAGCTGAACTTCCAACTGAAAAAGAGGTTTTGAATGTCATTAGACTGCCCTTGTGTGGCAAAGCACCTGGTGCTGATTCTATTCTAGCTTGAGATTTACAAGGCAGTTTATACCACTCTTCATACAAAAGCCCCTAGGAGTTCATGGATGCCTCCATTGTCCATCTCTATAAAGGAAAAGTAAGTAGGTTGTCCTATGAGAGCATAGAGGGCTCTCTCTCTCTCTCTCGCTCTCACTCTCTCTCTCTCTCTCTCTCTCTCTCTCTCTCTCTCTCTCTCTCTCTCATCGCCAGCAAGATACTTGGCAGACTCCTACTTGGTAGGCTGATTCTTCATCTGGAAGATAGTCATCTACCTGAGAGCCAGTGGGGCATCAGAAAGGGCTGAGGAATGCTTGATGTGGTATTTGCTGCCAGACAACTATAGGAGAAATTCCAGGAGCAGAACAGAGGTCTGTACACAATGTTCATTGATATGACCAAGGCCTTTGATACCATCAGTTATAAGTGAATATGGAAGATCATGGCAACATTTGGTTGCCCAGAGTTCATCAGTATTATATGCCAGTTTCATGACAGCTGCTTGCATGGGTTCTAGATACTGGGCAATACTTGCTCATTTTCCTAATCACCAGTGGAGTGAAGCAGGGCTGTGTGCTTACTCTCATGTTTTTAGCATGATGTTTTCAGCCATGTTATTAGATACCCTCACCAAGGATGAAAATAGCATCAAGATCAGCTACCACACTGATGGTAAAATATATAACTTGAAAAGACTACAAGAAAAGAATAACATGGAGGGAGAGCTGGTGTGCAACTTTTTGTTCACAGATGATTGTGTACTCAATACAGCCTCTGAAGCTTAGATGCAAGAGAGTATGGATTGATTGTCTGTTATCACTAATTTTGGCCTGACAATTAACACCAAGAAAATTGAGATTTTCCACCAGTCAGTACCACATCATCCTTACATGGAACAATTGGTTATAGCAAATGGAGAAATTTTGAATGCTATGGATGAGTTCACTTACCTTGACAGTATACTTTCTAGGCATGTACTCATAGATGATGAGATTGATGCATGCATTGCCAGAGCTAGCTAAGTGTTTTGGAAGTTATTAAGGAAAGTGTGAGAGAAAAGACATATTAGGCTGCCTGCCAAAATGGAGGTCTACAGACCCATTGTGCTGACCTTATTGTTGTATGCCTGTGAAACCTGGACAGGCCATCAATACCATGCCAGAAAACTGAAGCATTTCCCATTTGAATTGCCTTGGGAAGATTATGAAGATCACCTGGCAAGATAAGGGACTGGACCATAAGGTGCTTTCTTGAGCTGAACTGCCAAGCATTCAAACTATATTACAGAGTGCACAACTCTGATGGGTTGGCCACATTGTCTGAATGCCAAATGTAAGAAACTATTTTACAGAGAAGCCACAGAAGGCAAGTGCTTACAGGGAGGTCAGAAGTAATATAAGAACACTCTCAAAGTGTCTCTGAAGAACTTTGGAATGGTTTGTGTAACATGGGAGACACTGGCACAGGACCACCCAGCATAGCGTGCTCGCGTCAAAGAAGGCACTGTGCCCTATGAGCAAAGCAGAATTGCAGTAGATGTGCAAATTTGGTGCCATTTCCACTCCAAATATTCATCTATATTATTTATGGTAGAGCCTTCTGAGTTCATATTGTTCTTATCAGGCACAGTCAGACTCACTGTTCCTTGACCCCAACGTAGTGATGTCGCTTTGGTCCATGAAACACAACAACCAACCAATTAAGCAGAAAGAACAAAATATTGAACTCAAATGCTGTGCAATTATAATGACCAGTCATCTCCAGTGAAGAAAATACTGTACCTCCTTCCCTTTTAAGATATGAAGAACAATGATGTGGACCACCCTATATAGTTGAAGAAATTTTGAGCTGTTTCTTAGCTGTGCTGTATGGGTTGAGAGAGACACGTTATGGAATTAAGTTAATATAAAAACAAAAGACCAATACACGTTTGAAAAGAAATTATTGTAGTACTTACAATTTCAAAAGCATAGTAGGAACAGAATGCAAATTGAAAGGGATTAAGGAAAATATATAAAGGTGATGAGGAAGTATAGAAATCACATGTAGAATAAGTTTTTTAATAAATTTAGCAAAGTAGAGATTTGCTTACGAACACTGCCATTGAATGGATTGAATCCAGATTCCTAGTATTCAAAAACCTCCATATGTGCCCCTCATTACCTATCCTGCCTTATCTCCTATTAATCCCTAATGTGCTCTGTACTCCAGCCATGTTCATTCTCACCTTTATTGGTGCTCTTCTCTTTTGGCTTGACTTGCCCTATTTTCCTCCATTTATCCAATTCCTACTTGTTTTTCAAAACATACAAAATTCTATCTCATTTACAAAGCTTTCTCTAAATTATAGCAATGTTATTTTGTCCTATATTATTGCTGCATTTAACTATTTTGTCTATATCATGTTTCAGAATGTGTTTATCTCTAGCACTTGAATAGTCCTCATTATTTCTTATGTTTTATCCTTCAAACTAAATTTTAAGTCCCTTGACTGTCATATACATATCACTCTTCCCCCACAAGCCTACTAATCCCCCATGATTAAGGTAATATGAGACACATGTTAGGCACATAATAAGTATTTATTGAATTGAACAGTTAGATTTACTAAATAGTCATCTTCCTTTCACAGGATTATTTTTTAGGATGCTATAGACACTCATTGAATAACAATACTAAGAAAAATAACATAGTAGTCAGAATTAAAGTGAGAATGTGGGGGACATTATTCTGTCTTCTCTGTTCAGATTTTTCCTGCGTAAAAAAATTTTTTATAAAAGTAAGTGTTCCTTTTTCAGAGATTACAGGAAGTAATTCCTTTTAAAAAGTGACAAAGTAAATGAGGGAAATGAATTCCCCGTATGTGGAATGATGGGAAACATAATCCCAGCTGAGAAAATTAAAAATTCATACTATTCAAAATGGTAAAAGTCATGACTTTGAATTATGCATTTTTCAAGCCATGAATTATAAAATGAAACCTAGAAGATTATTTTCATCAGAGAATTCACAAGTTGTTTACTTTGTTTTATTTAGTGGAAGTGATCTGGTTATGAAGGTGGATGCCCTTCTCTCCTCTATGCCTAAAAGTAAATCTCGGCATAATGTCACATTCCCTAAAGAACAACACAGGTAAGACTGTAATCAAGAGATTGTTTTTCCCCCCATATTGTTTAACAATGTTTTTAATGTGTACTATTGGTAATTGACTGCCAGTATATTGCTACTTTAATGCTTCTTCTGGCATAGAGTTAACTGTAGGTTCTTAAGATTTAGAGCTGGAAGGGATCTTAGAAGTCATCTAGTCCAAACTTCTCATTTTACAGATGATAAGACTGAGGCCTAAGGAGGTTAAGTGGCTTATTCAGCTTGACAGCTATTAAGTGAGAGAGCCAGGATTTGAACCTGGGCCCTCTAAATCCAACACTCTTTCCATTACTCCGTGGTGTCTTTTGAAAGCTATACTAACAGGATACAAGCTATGGCATTTCCTAACCAAGTTGAAAAGGTATTGATAAACCTGGAAACAGGCTATTTTCTTGTCATTTGAAAAGCAGACCAGATGATTTTAGAGACGCCCATTACCAGAAAGTTGGCCACCATGTGAAATTTTGGCCACAGAAACTTGTGAAAAGTCATTTGTAATAAGGTAGAGTGGGGTTGTGATCTTGTTGATGGAAGGAGTGCCCATACTAATGAAAACTCAGACCCTTTGAAATAGTCTCCGTTGTAATTTATATGATACCATAATAAAAAATTCGTCATTAGGGAAATATTGCATACTATTATTTGGCATCATTGGCATACAGTCCTGGATAGTCAAATATTCTGGTAAACAGTTTTTGTATATATACACATATATATTTATACATATACACATACAAATGTACACATATACCTATGTGTATGCATACATGGACCAAATTAATTATGTATGTATGTATACAATATGCCATGTATAAGATAATCACATTGCATCTAAATTAAGATTAAGAAAACTTAAAAAGTGATTCAGTTTTTTTATTTGACAGTAGGAGATGCATTTCAAAGTTTTGATTAATAGTGCTTACAAATAGGATTTATGATAATCTCAAAAATATCTGATAATATTTTAGAGTCATACACTAATTTATAATACTATATAATATAACCTCAGTAATGTTTGAAATTATATTTTTACCGTGCTCTGCCTGGATTTATCTGTTTTAGGGCCAAAGATCTACAAGAAAACTAAATTAGATACCCTATAAGTAAAAAGTTAACAATTTAGCTTTTAGTTTCTACCTTTTGTATTCTTTTTACCAACCACAGTACTTGAGCATAGTAGGTTCTTTAAAAGTATTTTTGAACTTAATTGAATTAAAAAGATTTAATCTCCTTTAATTCAGTGCGCTATTTTAAAATAACTTAATTTCATCCTTACAGTTGTGGGAAAATACGCAAGGTTAAGTCTACTAAATATAATGCATCATAGCTAGAGACTAAGCTTCTATTATGTATTGAAGAATAGGTCCTCTCCTGATTAGAACCATTCATAAATGTAATTATTCTTGAATCTCTGTAAATGCATTTATTTTTCTTATGTAGGATCCAGGCTAACACAACAAATATTCATGTATTAATCCATATCTATGACAAAACAGGAACCCTTGCTTAACCTTTGAAGGCTAAAAAGAAGTATAATATATGAATATACTTGTTAATTCTGTTTTTATCTGAGAATCAACCTGAATTATTGTCCCCCATTCCATTACTTATTAACTCTATGAATGTGGACATATCGCTTACCTTCTACTCTTTCAGTTTTTTTTTAATCTGTAAAGTAGTAAAATGTTGCATTATCTATTTTAAAACAGGAGACTAGGTTAGATGATCTGTTAATATCCATTCCCCTGTGACATGATTACATAATGTATATAGGTTGTGGTAATAAGGTAATGAGATTTTTTTAGCATACTAGAACTTATATATACAAATGAATATTAAAAGTAGTTACTTTGGAGGCAATATACTTATTGCAGTTATGCTGCCATTGCTTAAAACATTTAAAAATTTTATTATTTCTTCTTCAGAGCTTGGCATATTATCTCAAATAGCATAAGTTGTGGCAAATCCTGCTCTTTTAATAATGTACCTGAAACCTTGGAATTGTCTTTGGTTTCTCCATTTGCCTCACACCTAGTATATTGCCTCTCTTTCAAATCATAATGACTAGTTTAGTCTTCCTAAAATTTAGTTCCAATCATCTTCCTCATTAAAAAAAAACCACAACTTTCAATGGCTCCCTATTACCTTCAAAATAAAGTACAAATTCCTCAGTCTTTCCTTCGAAGTACTTCATACTAGGACTCTGATGTCCTTCATAGATGTATGACTATGAATCCTCTTCACATGTTCTATGATACCAACAAACTATATTACTAAATATTCATTTAATACACATTGTACCTTCTTATTTTAGTGCCTTTATTAATGCCGTTCCTTCTACCTTACAATAACCTTTCTTTGCATCTCAGCTTCTCAAAATCTTACCCAGTTCAAATGTTTCCCCTTCCATTAAGCACCTTTCACATTCAGATGTGATCTTTCCCTCCTGAACTTCCACCCCACTTTGTACTGTTCTGTGAACACATAATTTTGTCTTACACTGAAATTTTTTATGTGCTTGCTTCAGTTCTCCTGCTAGATTGTAAGCCCCTTGAGGGCAAGAACTGTGTCTTACTCATTTGTTTATACCTGCATTTCCTTAACTCTTAGTATGAGTTCAAACAATATTTGTTGAATTGGAAATAGCAAGTCATTAAGATCAAGTCTGGTAAAGAAGGCTGACAATTAGATGGGAAAATAATGCTTTGGGGTAAAACTGAAGCATAAGTATAATAATGAGCCTGATTTTCTCATAAGGTAAACTGACTCTGAAGACAGCTGTAATAGAGGAGCAAAGGTTATGATGATGGTAACCTTTGCCCAAACTCAATTTTTTCCTTTTTATCTCATTTATTCTTTATTGTTTTTTCTAGTGTTATAAACATAAATCCTCAAGAAAGTGATATATTCTATGATGTCGTTGCCATTGTTGATCCATTAACAAGAGAAGCACAGAAGATGGCTCAATTATTGATTGTAAGATGATACAAAAATTATTTAAATTTAAAAATCCTTTTTAAATTTGTAATTTAGCTTATTCAGATTAATGTTTTGCTTTGTTCTGGCATCAACTATATATAAGCAATTATAGAACTACTATTTTATTGGGTATTTCAAATTCCTCTTTCAGAAGGGGTCACAAAGGCAATTTTGTTTCTGCTGTATACTATTTAATACTTTTTTTTAAGGCAGTTGGGGTTAAGTGACTTGCCCAGGGTCACACAGCTAGTAAGTGTCAAGTGTTTGGTCTGAGGCCGGATTTGAACTCAGGTCCTCCTGACTTCAGGGCCAGTGCTCTATCCACTGCACCACCTAGCTGTCCCCAAATTTAATATGGAGAGAGTAAAAACTCTCCATTTCATAAGTTCACTGTTTCATATACAATCTCTTTTCTGTTCTTTCTGTATTGAAATGTTTATATTTATTGATGTTAAGTTCATAATAAAAAAGAAAATTTAAGAAAGAAAATAAAAATCATTTTTAAAACTCTAAAGAAATTTCAAGGTTGCTTTTTAATTCTTGCAGCAGTATACTGTAATAGAAAGAACAGTATAGATTTCAAGTCCACGATCTTCTGTTCACTGGTTATATAACTTCAGGTTATATAAATTCACTTAACTTCTTAGAAACTCAGTTCCCTAAAGTGTTAAAAGGGAAACAATAATACTACTATCTCTCTCACAGGCTTATTGTAAAAGAAATGCTTGTAGGTTAAAATATCATGTAAAGATAAATTATAATTAATGTTTATAATACATATATTCTAACTACTGAATTATGCTACTGAATAATGTAAAGAAATAAAAATATTTAGTAGCAATTTTTATTCATTAAATTATTTTGGAAGGATGTTGTCATTCAAGTTCTTTATTAAATTACTAAGCAGAGTGAACTTCAGAGTTTTTTTTTATTACATATTCTTTTCTTTTAAGATTTGTCAGTTCAGTTTTGGATTTCATACTTCCATATATGACCATAAAACTATTCAAACTAAAGCTAGGAAACAATATCTAGACAGTCTGAAAATTGGAGTGAGCATGATGCTTTTGAATGAGCTCTGTTTTCAACATTATACACACACATTTCTTTTCCTTTAACATATCATTCATTCAAAGGCATTAGGGTTACACTATATTACATTACATAGGATTACGTTATATTAGAGAAGTGTTCAGGTCTGAGAAATTCATGTTTAGGCAAAAGTCTTAAAATGTGAAACTCATTTATACCAAACTATATTAACATTAATAGAACATCTTCCTCTGAAAAACTAAAAGCATTTCACACATTATTATTTCATCTTTCCATCATTAAGTTATTTATTGTAAGGAACAGGTAGCATCACTATTTTGCATGTGGAGAAATTAAGGTTAAATGATACCCAGGGTAACACAAATTATAATTGATGAAACTGAGATAAAAACCTATATGTATATTAAATACAAGTAGTTATGTACTTGTATTCCTCCCCAATCACATGGTATTTTTGTTGCATAACTTCTTTCTGTTCTTCCATTACCCTTATACCTGTTTTCCTTCTTGTAACAATTCTGGCAAGTCAGTTGGTGTATTATCTACTCTGGGACTGGAACTGCCAGAGTAATAGCTCTAAAATTCTTTTTAAAAAAAAGTTGAAATTCCGTTATTTCTTTGCCATGAACTATGTTGATTCTCTGTATGTTTCTTATTTTCTGTCTCAAATAATGGCTTTATCTTATTGTTTCACACTAAGGAAATGTGGTCACAATCAAACCACAGTTTTTGATATATAATATTTTTTCTAATAGGTACTTGGTCAGGTTGTCAATATGAAGTTGAAATTGTTTATGAACTGTAGGCCAAAGCTTTCAGAGGCACCATTGAAGAGGTGAGTAGTTAACACATTGCCTGAATTCAGCAAACATTTATTAAGAATAGGTTCAAGGCACTGTTGTGGGTCCTAGATGCTGGATACTATCTAAATGCACAAAACATGGCTTTCTCTATGTAGATAAAGAATTCTGCTCCTCAGAACTTGAACTAGGAACATGCAGGACTATGCCAATGTTTGACAACAAGTGTAGAAAGTAATAAAGACAAGACATCTGGGACCATAGTTGGATTGATGTTTAAGGAGAACAATAGTCAATGGGGTATAGAAGCATAAAGCTTAGTAAATTTAAAATAACGTATTTCTGGGAGGAGAATTTTTTACTTTTAAATACAAATTACTGTTTTCACTTCATAGTGACCTGAATTAGCTTCAGGACATATAAAGCATTAAACAATGTTAACTGCACTGACTTTACCCTGTTTTTAATAAATTATAGGCAGAGATTTTTTCACAGATTCATATTAGAAGGAGGCTTAAAACAGCAGCTGACTATTATCCAATTTAACAAATAGGTGTTAAGCATTTAATGTGTGTGCAAGGTACTATGCTAGACCTCAGAGATTCAAGGACAAAAACAAGATAATCCCTGACATCTAAGAGTTTGTACTTTATATAATCATTGTCCTCCTTATAGCTACTTATTTTTCTTTAATTTTATAATTTATTTTATTTTAATATACCGAATAAAATAAACGTTTTCTATAACATGGTATAATTTAAAAAAAGATGATGGCACATGAAACTACAAATCTATTATGCACAACTTGCCATTCCTTTTAAATATATAATAAAGTTATGTATATTTCTTTTTTTTTCCTTTTTTTCTTCCCTCTCCCTCCACATCCTAGAGATGGCTAGTATTAGACACAAATATATACATGTGTAAATGTGTGTGTACACACATATATGTGTAAAATCATTCTATATATACTTCTATTTATCAGTTCTTTCTCTGGATGCAGATAACGTTTTACTTCATGTGTCCTTTGTAGTTAATTTGGGGATTTATAATAGTCAGAATGACTTATTTACTCAAAGTTGTTCTTAAAACAATATTGCTGTTACTATATAAAATGTTCTCTTGGTTCTGCTTATTTCACTCTTCATTATTTCATGTCTATCCACATTTTTCTAAGATCATTGAGCTCATCATTTCTTATAACATAGTAGTATTCCATCACAATCATCTATCACAACTTATTCAGCCATTCCACAGTTGACGGACATCCCTATAATTTCCAGTTCTTTGCTACTACAAAGAGAGCTGCAATAAATATTTTAGAACATATAAGCTCTTTTCCTTTTTCCCTAATCATCTTTGGAAATAGACCTAGTAGTGCTATTGCTAGGTCAAAGGGTATAGGCAGTTTAATAATTCTTTGGGCATAATTCCAGATTGTTCACCAAAATAGTTGGATCAGTCCACAGTTCCGTCAACAACAATGAATACATCCCCAATTTTTCCACATCCCCTCCAACATTTGTTGCTTTCCCCTTCAATCATCTTAGCCAATCTGATAGATTGTTTTAATTTGCATTTCTTTAATCAATAATGACTTAGAACATTTTTATATGACTATAAATTGTTTCAATTTCTTCATCAGAAAACTACCTGTTCATATTCTTTGATCATTTAATAGTTCTTGATATTTTTGCTACTTGGAGTAAAACAAGAATAAGACTGCTAAAGGCAATTTGTCTAACTCAGTTTATTAGGCTTTTTCAACTTGATGCTCATTTTTTATTATACATTTGTAATGCTTTAAAAAGTCATAAAGATAAAACACATTTGAAATCTATCTTTTCCCCATTTTTCTTTCTTGTGTTAGTGGTGTCAAGAAATAGGTAAATGGCCCCAAAGCATATAACATGAGGAAGTTAGGTGAACATCAGTAAGTAGAATTCATTCATTAACTACATTATCAGACCCCAATTTAATTCAACATAAACTAAAGTGAGATTGTTCTCATAAATATATAATAAATAATACTCAATAGTATTCTTAGCACTATTATAGTATATCTTACATATTATGCTTTTCTACCCATTGATGGATATTAACTCTCCCTAAGTTTTTTTTTAAATCAAGTAATTTTGATATAGCAGTCATGCTGTTTTTATTTGAAAGGTTTCAGTTGAAACTTAGGGTACTATGCTTATCTTTGTATTTTTTATCAACAGCTTTTACCGGTTTGTTTTGGAACCAGAACTGACTCCAGGACCCAATAATATTATTTCTTTGGGGCCTATGGCAAAGTTCCTGGAAATGCCTGAATCACCTCTTTTGACCCTCAACATGATTACTCCTGAATGCTGGTTGGTTGAAGCAGTACACAGTTCCTGTGACCTTGATAATATTTACTTAAAGGATGTAAGTTGTAATTCCCAGTTATTTATAAGAGATCCAACTAAGCTAGGCTCCCATTCTAAATTTGATACTATTATGTTCATAGAGTTGGAGTGGCCAGATGGTATAGCTCAAAGAGTATCACTGAAACATGTTTTGCATTCTCCATACTTCCCAATCCAATCTCACTGTTAACATGAGGTGTACATTTAGCTCTTCCAGATTCAACATTTCAGATTCAGTAATCTTTAATATTATTCACTTCATAAATAATAGATTCCTAAATCATTTCTTTAGATCATTTCAGGGCTTTTGAGTGGAATGGAAAACTTGGACAAAACCGGTACCTGTAGATGAAGGGACTTATAATTGAGAGACACAATCCTGGCAGAACAGATGTACATATATAAGTATATAGATAAAGATACATAGATATAACTGCCTGTATCAATATACCTATGTCTATAAAGTGTTAATGTGTAGCACAGCTTCTAGGAACAGCTCTCCAAATTTGAACTAACATGTTGCAGATTGAGTACCCAGGTGGCAACCACTATCTGCAACTCAAAATACTCTGTGGGTTCATACTCCTAAAAGTATAGTCCATAAGCCCCAAACTGTATATTCATTCTTAATAGTCAGCCAGTAGACACAATAAGCTTAAAGCAAAGAAGCTATAAAAAAAATAGCTGTAGAACATATCTTAAAAACCTGGGCATCATACTTCCATAACTATACATGGCCTTAGTAAAAAGATCGACCACATACAGGAAGCATGCTTCTACTTTCTCTACTTGACTCCTCAACTCTTTGCAATCTGGCATTCAGTCTCATTCCTCAATTTAAACTGCTGTCTCCAAAGTTACCAATGATCTCTTAATTGCCAAAGCTGATGTTATTTTTTTCAGTACTAATCCTTCTTGACTTCTCTGCTACATTTGACACTGTTGACCACCTGCCTCCTGGATGGTTTCTCTTAAGTTTTTGTGACACTAGTCTTTCCTGGTTTGCCTCCTACCTATCTGACTACTCCCCCACCCCTGTATCTCCTTTGCCGGCTCATCATCTACATCATGGCCTCTAACCATAGGCATTCCCCAGGGTTCTGCTCTAGATACTCTTCTCTCTATATATTCTCTTTCTTGGCAAAGCTATTAAGCCCCATAGGTTTAACTATCATCTTTATACAGATCTACGTGTCCAGCCCCCATCTCTCCACTGAGCATTAGTCCCAGATCACCAGTTACCATCACTGGATGTCTCAGAGACATCTTAAACTCAGCATATCAATTTAAAATTAAACTGTCTTTTCCCCTGAGCCCTCCCCTTTTTTAGACTTCCCTATAGGTGTAGCTATGTGGTGCAGTGGATAGAGCACCAGGCCTGAAGTCACAAAGATTTGAGTTCAAATTTAGCCTCAGACATTTACTAGATATGTGACCTGAGCAAGTCACTTAACTTATATTTGCCTCAGTTTCTTCATCTATAAAATGGGGATAATAATAGCATCCACCTCCTGGGGTTCTTATGAGGATCAACTGAAATAATAATTGGAAAGCACTTAGCACAGTACCTGGTACATACTAAATGCTATATAAATGTTCACTACTCTTATTAGTAAAGACACCACCATCCTTCCATTATCTCAGGTTTGTAATCTCATCTTCTACACTTCATTCTTCCTTATCTTACATATCCAATCAGTTGCCAAGTCTTGCCATTTCTGCCTTCACAAAATCTCTCATTTATAACTCCTTCTCTCCACTCCCATAAACTGCCACTTAGTTCGGGACCTCAACACCTCTTGTTCAAATCACTACGACAGCCTTCTCATTAGACGCCCTATTTCCAGTCTTACATCACTCTAGTCTATCCAAGGTAATTTTCCTTAAACACAGATCTGACCATGTCATTATCCTAATCAACCAATTCTACTGGCTTCCTGTGCCTCTAAAACAAAACAAAAACTCTTCTCTTTAACTTTTCATAACCTGGCCTCAATCTAACTTTCCGAGCTCAGTATATATTACTCCCTCTCCAGAACTCAATGTGTAGTCTTTTCAAACTGACCTGCTCTCTATTCTTTACACACATTCCATTCCCCATCTCTAGGCCTTTATACTGACTGAACCCATGCCTGGAATGCCACTCTCTCCTCTCTTCTGTTTCATATAGTTTCTCTTCATTTAAGATTTTGCTCAGACATCAGCTTCTGCGTGAATTTTTTTCCTTATTCCCCAACCTAAATTACCTTTTATTTAAATAATATGTGTGTAATGTAGGTGTATACATATATATGTACAGACATATATGTGTTTATTAATTTTCTATATATGTTATATATATTTTATAAGTATTCATTGTCTACTCCATTGGAATATTAAGCTCACTTCAAGTAGAGATTTTTTCATTCTTTGTACTTAATATCCCTAAAGCCTACCATATTGCCTGGCACTGGCAGGCACTTAGTATTGATTGATTGATTGATTGATTGGGACTATGTGACCAAGATAACTCATACCTGTCATCAAAGGACCCCCATATCCTTTCTATTTTTCTAGTGTTCTCACTGTGCTCCCTAAGTTCTGTGTCTTTCTTGGCAAATCACCAGGATAGGCTCCTTGGGCCAGCTCTACTCAACAGCTTGACTAATGACTGTCAGGGTATATTCTTCCTTGAATACGTAGTTGTCTCTTCTCTGCTGCCATACTCCTTAGAGCTGCCTACATTATCTTTCCTTGAATCCCTGAACGTGCTCTATATTGGGACTGGTATCTCCTACAGATTGAGTAGCTATACTACAAGATCCCATGGTTGATGGGTGGGGTGAGAGAGGAAGAAATGCCTTCCCCCACCCAACTATTTTCTAGTAGAGAAGCAAGAGGGAAGGCAAAGAGTGAACTGCTCTACAGACCTTGGTTCTTCCTCCAAAGCTAGCTCTCTTCTAGACTTCCAGGGTTCATATCCCACAAAGCTCTTCTGCTTCAGTTGTCTCCCAAGGCTGACAGGCTTGCTTTTATAGAATACCAGGCACATGGCTATCTCCAGTGAGCCAAAGGCAAGCTGCTTGTATTAATTCCATGAAAGAGAATTTCACACTTCATAAAGCGATAACAGTGCAAAAGCTTTTCTTCATGCTTCACTTAAAATGGTTAGCACCATCTTGCCCCTTTTGCCTTCCTTTTCAATGATTTCATCAAGTGGACAGGAGGAGGGGGGAAGAGACCAGTTGAGTAGGGTTGATCTTACAAATTCCAGCTCACACCATATTCAATATAAATGCAAGTTAAATTTTTGTAGGGGAGAGTAACGACAGCTGGAGGGATCAAGAAAAGTTTCTTGTAGAAGGTAATAGTTGAGTAGAATTTGAAGAGTTGGATGCTATTATATTGTTCTACTACTGAAATTAGCTTTATAGATGCCTGTTAAAGAATATTTCTGTAATAAGTTGTTTAACCCTTCCCCTTACAAGCTGATAATAAGACCAGTATGCATTTATAGAAGAAAATAATTACCTTCCTTCATCTTCTGTACAAGGACCATAAGGACAAAAAGCCTCGGCAGGCAACTCTAGGATCATTGGTTTCGATATCAAAAGGTTTTTGAAGTAATTTAGTCCATACTCTTCTTCTTACAAATGAAGGATGAGGCCCAGAGAGGTTAAATAACCTGCCTATGGTCATAAAGGTAACAAATGTCAGAGACAGATTATGAAAACAATTTCTCTGACTCTAAATCCAGTCCTTTTCCCACTGTACCACAGTAAGATTAAAGGAAAAGTCAGAAAACCATAACATTCCCCATGGCATAGTAATTATATCTCTCCCCCACCCCGTTACATATACATTGTTAGAGACTTTAATCTCAGCTGGAACCATATGAAAAAGTGTGGGAAATGACCATCATTCAACCATTGATCTGGGGAGAATTAAGAGAAGACAGAAAGGGATTTCCCTCTTTTGAGCCTGAGTGAATATAGTAGGTACTTTCTCAGACATAAATAATTTACTTGAATAGTTAAAAAAATAAGTTGAATTTGTGTAACTTAATCTCTGAGGGAATGTTAGTTCTGTAATAATAAATATCCGATGGCATTTCAAATATATAACTAAGGAAGTGTGGAAACAGCTTTACATTTAATTATTGCTAAGCATGATTCACAGCCTACAGTCAAATATCTGAAGGATTCTGGCACTACAGAGGGTCCTAAAGATACCAGAGAATGTAGTTAGCCACAATGAACAAATAATATTGGACATGTCTTTTAACTCAAACCTTTTTAAATACCTTGTAACTTAGACTCTTGCCTTAATAGATTTTTTTCTTTTGCATTCTGACGGTGCTATACTACTAGTTCACAGTTTCGTAAGCTGGACATGCCTCCTTCTCATTCCCTGCTAGCTGTCCTTTTTCTCCCCTCATAGGATCATAGGAATTGAGCTGGAAGGGACTTTTGAGTCCATTTAGTTCATTCCCTTGATTTTACAGATGAAGAAACTGAGACCCATAAAGGTTAAATGACCTACCCAAGATCATACAAGTCACAGGGGCAGTACTTCAATTCAAATCCTCTAACTCCCAAAGACAGCATTGCACCCATACCATCATTCTCTTCCAATGGGCTTCCAAGCCGGCACTATGGAGAGCTTTCTGCTATAGTACCTGGCCGGAACTACTCTTGATTGGGCCTCTTCCACTTCTTTTCTCCTTTGGCTATCCCTCAGAGAATGTGGCCATGTTTTCCAACTAATTCAGGTTTGTGTTCCTAATAAAAATAACTAGCATTTATGTAGCATTTTAAAAAGTGTTTTAAAATGTTAGCTTATAAGGGCAGGTAGATGGCGCAGTAGATACAGCTCTGGCCTTGGAGTCAGAAGGATGTGAGTTCAAATCCAGTCTCAGACATGTGACAATTATTAGCTGTGTGACCCTGGGCAAGTCACTTAACCCTGACTGCCTCAGCAAAAATATATATATATATATATATATATATATATATATATATATATTAGCTCATTTGATTTTTCAACAGCCCTGTAAAATAGTTGTTATCATTATCCCCAATTTATAGATCAAGAAACTGAAGCATAGAATAGTTAAGTGGCTTGCTCTGGGTTATATATTTAGTAAATGTCTAAAATTGGATTTGAACTCAGGTCTTCCTGACTAAGTCTAGCACTCTAACCACTATGACACTTAGCTGCTTAATATATGTTTTCCTGGTATTACTCACACCCCAAGTATAAATATCATCAAAACTCAGTTCATACCTCCCCTGATCTATTTAGTCAGATTGATTTTGATCCATTTAAAAATAGGTTTTGAAGGATCCAATTCAATTCTGGCTTTCTGGGAACCCTCCTATGCCCTTCTACAAGTAAACTAGAATCCTCAAGACATCCTTTGGAATCATGGATTTGGACCCCTTCAGAGAAAATCTAAACCAGAATTTATTCATGTACTCCTTGAGAGTATTCCTAGTCCAAATCATTATATTCAATTTATCTCTTTAATGCTATAACTAGAGTACATCCTTCTGTTCTATATCCTTGCCTTTTGGTCATCAAACCAGTAAGCACTTATTAAGTACCTATATGTGTCAGACACTATGTCAGTTGCTGGGGATACAAAGAACTGCAAAAAGACAGTCCTTGCTCTCATGGAGCTCAAAGTTTAATCTGGAAGGCAACATTTTACAGACAAGATATGTAGATGATTGAAGACAGAAGGCATAAGTTTTAAGGTGAACCCAGAAAGAATTCTTATAGAAGTTGTGATTTTAGCTGAGTCTTGAAGGAAGTCAGGAGGCAGAGATGAGGAGGGAGAAAATTTTAGTTATGCGGTCGGCTTATGAAAGATATGCAGTCAGGAAATGAAATATCTTCTGTAAAAAACAGCAAGGCCAATACTACTGTATTGCAGAATATGTGAAGAAGAATAAGGTTTAAGAAGACTGGAAAGGCAGAAGAGGGCCAGGTTATAAAGGGCTTTAAAAGCCAAAGAAGAAAATTATGTTTCATCATAGAAGTAATAGGGAGCCACTGGAGTTCATTGAAAAGGGGAGGTGGGGCAGTATTACATGATTATTCCTCCACTTTAGGAAGATTGGTTTGGCAACTGAGTGGGAGATGGAGAAATACTTGAGTCAGGGAGCCCAACCATAAGATTTTGAAATACTCCAGATATGAGATGATGAGGGCCAGTTCAAGATGTCTAATAGGCAATTGGAGATGTGAGAGTAGAGATCAGGAGAGTGGTTGGAGCTGGAAAAGTACATCTGAGAAAAATCTGCATAGAGATGATAACTAAATCTATGGCTAATGAGATAACTAAGCAAAATAATATATAAGGAGAAGAAAATAGGGCCCAGGACAGAGCCACAGGGATATTCATGATAAGTTGGTATAACCTGGATGAATAGTAAGCAAAGGAAACTAAGAAAGTACCATCAGATGGGTAGGAGGAGAACTAGGAGACAGTAGTCCTGAAAAACTGGAGAGAAGAGAGAATCAAAGAGAAGTAGGTGATCAACCAGTGATAAAAGGTATATACAGGTCAAGAAGGATGAAAGTGGAAAGAATGCCATTAGATTTGAGATCATTAGAAAAATGCAATCATTAGAAGATATGGACCAGAATGTATTCCTTTATTCTTAAGACCATTCCCAGCCCAAATCTTCATATTCAATTTGACCCGTAAATGCTACATATACCGTATATCTTTCTGTTCCACAGCTTCTTTGCCTTGCCATTTGGTAATAAGCCAAGATGGCTTTGTACCCTGAAAGGGAATACTATAATGTTATTATCATGGGATGGAAAAGTGATAATGTTTGCTCTTTAGGACTATTCTAGAAATTTATATAGTTCCATAATCTATCAAAAGGTTTCAAAGAAAAGGATTAAATTGATTATAAATAATCTTCCCTTTTATTACATTATGATAAAACCATTTCTAGCTTATGAATTCATATTGTGAAAGAAGAAAATGCCTTACTTAAATTGTGAAATATTATCTTCATAGATTGAGGGAACTGTCAGAGCAGAATATGAACTAGAATATCTTCTGCTTGAAGGTCAGTGCTTTGATGAAACTACTGGACAACCTCCTCGGGGACTTCAGTTTACCCTCGGCATGAAAAAGAATCCCGTCATGGTTGATACCATTGTGATGGCCACCCTTGTGAGTATTGGGTAGAAGAGTTATTTTCCCATATCAATTAATTCAACATTTATTAAGCACGTCCTTTGTATATAATAGATAAGTATCATGATAAAGTCTGAGAGACCTAGGATTAAGTTCTTCTTGCACAAATTAATTATGTGAACTTGAACAAGTCACTTAACTCCCTGCACCAGGCTATCAGTTGCCTATTTGCAGAAGTGGAAGAAGCTAACACTACCCAAATAGATGAAATCACCACTCGCTTACCAAAAAATAATGTGCCAAACAGTTTGCTAGATCCTAGGAGAAATACAAAGATAATTAATATGTAGTTGGTCCTTACTGAGCTCTTAGACTAGCAGAGAAGATGTAACATTTATAAAGATATGTATTTATAAAGATATATATATATATATATATATATATATATATATATATATATATATATATATAATATAAAGATTAACTGTAATGGGCTCATGAGTTCTACTTCCTCCACAAGTCCAGATCACTGCCCATCTTTTGTGGGTGATGTGTTCAAAGAAATCATTTTCTAGAAGCTAAACAGTTGCCTAGCATTCTAGAACTCAAAGTTTTCCAGGTTGGTACATACAGTCTGTCTGCATTTACTCATCAATCAGGTGGTGCTCAAGAACCCCTGGATCGTGTTTGATACAGTGCTACAGTGAAGCACTAGAGTATAATACTTAAGTAGCACCATACCATTAAATAATAATGCCATAGGAGAAATACAAAAGTTATTTAATGTTTGAGGAGAAAGGAAAAATCTATCCCAATTAGTGAAATTAGGAGAGATTTTCTGGGTAAGATGACCATTGAACTGGGCCGTGATGAGATGGGTAAGATTTGAGAGAGTAAAGGTTAGAGGGATGGGCATTCTCCTTCATAAGTTGGATCAACAGCTGCATTCTTACAAGTATGTCCCAGATCTATAACATAGTACAGTTGAACACTGAAGTACTAAGATAAAAATGAAAGAATGCCTATATTTTGTGTGTTCCATAAACATAAGAATAATTGAGAAGCTTAATTAGAAGTGTAAGTAGTAACTGACCCTTACTCTTATTAGATTTAAGTGATTAGATAATCTTTATTTTATCACTGCAGATCAGTTTTCAGGGAACAAAACTGACTGGTATTAGGAATATATTCATTAAAGGGGAAGGAGGGTCTTGATTTTGGAATATTTTACTGAAGGAAATTAAAATCTCTTCTAGAAATACTTAAATACGCGTTATGGTTTCTGGTGCAATCGTGCCTAGAGATAGACGTATAAACTAGATTAGATTGAAAGGTCCCTTCCAACCCAATTTAAAAACCTTTGTTAAACCCCCACACTATGAATAATATCATTATGCCTACTTAATAGCTGCCCTGTCTGACATTTAAGTTTAGTCGTAGTACTCTGGTTCAGTGATCCTCTTTTCTTCTCATAAGGGATACTTTCAATTAAAAGCAAATCCTGGTGCTTGGATTCTGAGATTACGTCAAGGGAAATCTGAAGATATTTACCAGATAACTATGTAAGTAACTCTATTTTAGAATGATGTGATTATCTTACTTGCTGGCTTTTAGAAGAAAGTTATTATAATTGCATAATAACATATAGGAAAATGGTCCTTAGCTTTAATGGGTTTGGCAAAACTAAATTCATTATTCCCCTTCCCCTGACCCACTTCACTTTTCTAACTTTCCTACTGAGAGTACCTCTGTGCTGTTAGCCATCCTAGTTTGAAACCTAGAAATTATCTTTGACCCTACTCTCTCTCATAGCCCCAGTTTGGCAACTGACATTCAATCAATCAGTTGCCAGGTCTTGTCAATTCTATCTCCATAACATATCTCACATCCATCCCCTTCTCTTGATTCTCTCATCTTCTATCCTTATCTAGGTCCTTATCACCTCTCACCTAGAGTTTTTCAATAATCTCTTTAGTATCACAGCCTCCAGTCTCTTAGCTGTCCAATCCATCCTCCAAAGAGCTGCCAAAGTGATTTTACTAAAAATTCTGACCATGTCATTCCTTTCATCAAGAAACTCCAGTAGCACTCTATAAGTTTGGGCTAGGATAAAATGCAAACTTCTTTTTGGCATTTAAAGCCTTTTGCAATCTCTTCCAAACTTATTATTCATTTCTACATTTCATTAATTTGGTGTTGTCCCTCACACATGACATTCTATCTCCTATCTCTGTGCCTTTGCACAGGCTCTCCACCATCTCTGGGATGCATGTCTACTCAATTCAAGTACCATCTCCCACATGAGAACTTTTCTGATATGTTTAGCTGCTAGCTCCATCTCCCAGAAATATTCCTTTTGTATCTACTTATATGTGTATATGTTGTTTTTTCAACAGAATTTAAGCTCCTTGAAGTTAGAAACTGTTTTTTTGTGTCTCTAGTCTAATTTCTTCTTTGTATCCCTAACCTAACATAATGTGATTTGTACATAGTAAACATTTAATAAGTGATTGTTGTTTGATTGTCTCTGCACCTTACCCATCAGGTGATTTTGGTTAAGTCACTTAAGCTTTCTTAGCCTACGCCTATTTAAAAATATGAATCCCATTTTCATCCCTTGATTAACTCAGTGTAAAAATTAAATGAAATAATGAATATGAAAGTGCTTTGTAAATTATAAAGTACACTTCAGATGAAGGATGTAAGGTATTGTAATTATAATTTCAAAGGAAAAATATTCAATTCTAGATTTGCCCAATTTTATTTAATGATATATTCCTCATCCTTATCTTTGACCACCAAGATTTTGCCAAGGAACATGGGGAAACAAAAAGGTTTCATGTACTAAAAGAAGCCAGTCATTGTTAACTTTCCCTTGGTATTTATGGTTTTGTAACTTTGCAGTGGATTTGTAGATTAGTAAAGTTGGCAATTACTCCAAAAAATTTAAATGTTGCTGGATGTCAAATGAATAATCCAGGACCAAAACTGTTAAAGTAGTTGGGTTATATAGAGATAAAATTAATTTACTATGAATATGACTAATGTAAGTTTTATATAACAAGTAGACTCTTTACCTGTGTGACATTCAGCAAATCATTTAACCTCTTTGGGACTCAGTTTCCTTATCTGTATATTAGGTAGTTTCACCTTTTTCAGATGCCTTCTGACTCTAATCTTTTAATTTACAAGCTTTTATTTTCTCTTCCAATGCCCTCATGGAAAACAGAAAGAAAAAAGGAAACCCTAAATCCATGATCCATTGACTTTTAATATTTGTATATTATCAGTACTGTACAGTCATAACCTTTAGCATAATAATATTGTCAATATGCAAATGAGAGTTGGTTAAAGTTTACACTTCATCAGTTTTAATCATCACCATGGACTTCAAAACTTAATTCACTTTTACTTTTTCTGTAAGTATGATCAAAATCAAGCTTTTCCCCCCTTTAAGTCTTAGTACTGTCATTATTCAACTAGTTATCAAAGGCTTTTGTAACAGGTTATAGGGCAATGTTAGTACAAATGATTTCACTATAGTACCTTAGTCAGTATATAATCATGATAAATTTTTGACACATAAATTGAACAAATAACATTCCCTGGGAAAATATAATATTGAAATGTCTTTTTCTAAAAACAAGGAAATGCTTTTGATGTTGTACAGCACTAATTTTAACATCTATCAGTTTAAGTAAACTATTAGTATATATGTTCAGTTTTTTAATATGTTTTTTATCATGATCAGTATGGTTCCTTCTGTTGTGGTAAAACCCATTCTCTTAGCTTTTATTTCACTTATGTAACATAGATGTATAGACATCTCAATGAACATTTGTTGCTTTTTAGACATATAGAAAACATTTATTAAGTGCTTCCCATTTGCCAGATACTGTGCTAAGTGCTAGGGATACAAATAAAAATAAACAAGATAATCTTTGTTCTCAAAGAGTTTATATTTCAATAGGGGAAGATAATATATAAAGGGAGATTGGATGGTATGCTCATGTTGCATAGTTGGCAATGTCCAGGAAAAGCTGTTGAAGCCTGGATAGAAGCATAGTTGGGCTATCAAAGTCCAGGATATTTCCAAGGTCAGAGTCTAATTTTTAGATCAGGAGAAAGTGGAGACAATGGTCAATAGAGGAGACTACATGACTGTAGATGTTGCGAAAGTATTTTATACAATTAGGGAATTTCCCAGACACTTTAAATAATTTTTTAAACTTATCAAAAATACCCCAGTAAAAAAATAAATATGAAACCTCTTGTTTTTTCAGACAGAATATAAACCTCTAGCTTAAAAAGGTAAATATTAGAGTTGAGGTATATATAGCAACTAAAATCAATATTAATTGGATAACCTTACCATTGGTCGTCAAGGTCTGACTACTATTAAATTTTATGACTATTGGTTGACATTATCCACAGCTTAAACTATAACTATAACTTTTGTTTTTATATGTTTACATTTATATCGTTCAGGTCTAGGAACAGTATGTATGTGCCACTATGATTGAAGCATTTCTAAGTTACCTTCACAATCTAAATAGTTTTTGTGAGAATTTTTTTTATCTACAAAATATAAACTGAATGAGAAAAATCATATGTTTGTTCAACTGACTTTGTCCTTATTATCAAGGGAATTCACAGTCTTACCTTTATTCACACCACATTATATTAGAGCATCTACTGATACAACAACACATCTTAGCATATCTGTCACAGGCCTCCTTTGACCTGTGACTAAACTAGCTGCTGGCAGTATCTGTCTTCATCTCCTTCCTTCATTACTTCTTTCTTTCCTGATTTGATTTAATACTCATTCCAGATCTTTGATTTGGAGACAGACAGATCAAAGTAGTTAAAGCAGTGAACTGACCTCCAAACAAGTTTATTTAGAAGGAACAGTTAGAAAACAAGAAAGTCCATATTTTTTCTACTGATTTGCAACCTAGCCATGCTTGTACTTATAAGGATAATTTTTTTGAATCCAAGTATAAAATTTATATTTACGCTTATTAAATTTCATAGTATTTGATTCAGCCTATTAGCTTAGCCTGTTAAGCCTTTATAAAACCTAATCCTCTCATCCATTGCATTAGTTATCCTGGCTTTCTGTCATCTATACCTTTAGAAAAGGATAACTAATGTTAAATAATTAAGTAAAAATCTCTGAGGCATTTGAATAAAGACCCCCTTGTAAGCAGATGTTGCCTTCTAATGACTATTTGGGTTTAGTCATTGAGATAGTTTGAAATCCACCTAATTCTTCTACTGTCTAGCCTACTTCTCTTCATTTAGATGGCATGAGAAATTTTGTTTAATACTTTGCTGTATCTCAAGCATTTCCTTGATTCTCCTAATGTACATTCTCTCATCTAGAAAGGAAATAAAGTTAGTCTGTCATAATCTGAACTCGAGAAAAAAAAACATGTCTCTTAGTGATCACTTTAGATTTCAGATTGTATTCCTTTAATAATAATGAAAGATATATAAGATGTATTTCTCACCCTCTGAGGCCTATAATCTGCTTAGGAATGCATTGAAAAAGTTAAGGATATTTGCAAGTAATTGCAATATAACATATACAAGCTACACTTATAAATGCAAAGGAAATGCAGAATAAGCATGTGAAAAGTGTTACAGCATTAATAATGGAAGGCTTCCTGGACAAATTATTCTGACTGAATAGCTCTTATTACTATATCAAAACATACATGCCTAAACTATTTTCGTAAATGTTATTAATTAGAGAATAATTGATTGTTGAGCAAAGTTGACGTGTTTAAGATGGTTGTTCAAATGAGGAACATTTTTTTTATAATGCCACCATCTATAGGATACTAATGCTAATAAATTGAAAAAAGCCAAGGTGGCAGAACAGTAAGAAGAAATGTGGTGAACTCTCATCTACAAACTCCTCTAAATATACCTAGAAAATGGACCAACCCAAATCCTGATATGAAAATCCAGAAAAAGTTACAGTGCCTTTTATCCAGCCCAGCTGAGAGAGAGACATGCAGAAAGGTCTACAGATACTGGGAGTGAGGATGAGTGTGAACTGGCAGCTTTGTCAGACAATATCCAGTTTGGGGTCACTGATCCAGAGTGGAATGAAAAAGGCAAGTACATATAGAAGTGGTGTTCTTGGGTACTGAGGCCCTGGACAGTGTGCCAACAAAAGAGGAAATTCAGAAGCTAGCAACAATAGTTTGGTTCAGACCCCAGACTCAGATGAGGGCCTTGCTTCCCATATCTAGTCCACTTTGTAGAGGAATAACTAAGAGAAGAATCCCAGACCAAAGGGCAGTCCTACAATTATGCCACTCTGAAACAACAGAGCTTTCCAGCTGGCTTATAGAGGTAAAGTCCAACAGGGGTCTACTTTTGAATAAACGCAAACCTAGGTCAAGAGCCTGTGGATTTCTGACAAGAAGGGAGCAAAACCGAACACTTTTTTTTTCCAGTCAGAGTAAGTGTTTATTGTATAGCCAATAGAAGTGGGTAATAATCTGCATGATTTAATGGGGTTATGATTGCTACTTTTATACAGAAA